TCAATCTCTAGTGTTTGAGGCAAGCTGATTTATTTTAACAGAAAAAAAATTGCATAGTGATCTAAATGCCTTAAGAATGACTACTTTGCTGTGGACAAGATAAAACTTTTAAATGTAATAAATTTCAGTATTGCTTAGATGTATTATATCATTGTATTGTAAATTTGAAATAATCTATTTTAATCAAACTTAAAAGTCAACATTAGCATAAAGCAACACCTAATTAGCCTGAAATATCCAATGAGAGCTGGGTCCTGTTGGTTACCAGCTGGTAAAGGCACAGTTTTAAACTGGCTCACTGCAGACTCGGTTCAAGTCTCCACTGGCTCTGGATAGTCAGTTATTTCTGTCCAAGCCTGAGATGACTTTTTTAAACTCTAAGTCTTTGGAAAAACAAATATAATTATTTGGAAAGAGTAAAAGTAATTCATATTAATGTCTGTGTATAGGTTGATTGAAACCAATTAACCCCAGAAGGGACGGGATGTTGTTAAACTCCTTTCTTGATTAAAAGAGAGGTAAATTTTTGCCATTTGTAGCTAAAGATTTCTTTCGACAGTTTTCTCTAAAGACTCCCACCCCACAAAAAACAAACAAACAAAAAAACCTTTAAAAGGTTAAAATTTTTTCAGACTTAACTATCTCTAAATTATTTTCTATTTTTACAGGGTAAATACAACATGTTCACATGTATACTACAGAAAATTTAAATGTTTTTTAATTTATCTGTTCCTGCAATTATCTGCACTGTCTTCTCTAATTGAAGAGTTGCAAAAAAACAAAAATCAAAAAAAAAAAAACAAACCCTATGGTGGCTCAACAATGCAGCTCAGTTCAGTCTAATAGCCTGCTCTTAGCAGATATATTCATCCACCAAGGCATTTTCCTATGAATTCTGGACCAGAACTGAAAATTTTGCTCATCACAGTGTTCTGGGTAACCAATACTAATCAATTGGAGTTGGCAAGAAGCGATACTGGTTTGCCATCCCACTAAGCTTCATGCAGTATGTACACTGACTTACCTTATGCTATGCTTGATTTCTCATCTCGGTGCTGAGCTGTCCATCTGCTCTGAAGACGGCCCTTCTGTTTGGTTATCTGTCCTTAAAGCAATTTCTCATCCAACACCTGACAGTCTGGGGTTAGAGCCAGAGACAAGGGTATATACTGGTTGTACTAGGCCTTACTACTAGGTACCTACTGGGTCTAGCCGTATGGACATTACAGGAGAACGTACTACAACTCAAAGAAGATAAGACACTAGGTAGTTGCTTAAAATATGATGTTCCTTTTGGCTTTTCCTTAATAAGGAGAATAGCTAACGAGCATCTTCTTAGGGGTTTTTAGGTACCAAAAGACTTTTATTAAGGTGCTCTTTGGTTAAATCTTTCAAAGCTATAATAACAAGATTATCTACCTTTTCCATGAGTTTCCAACTCTTCAATTTTTCACTCTTAACTCTTCACAAGTTCTATACATTCCTTCTAAGTTGTACAGTTCAGAACTGAGCAAGTCCTCTAGTAAATAACACATTAGTATAAGAGCACTAGGAAGAAATTCTATTTTTTATTTTATATAAGCTTTTTATTGAAGTATAACATACATGAGAAGGGATTGTGAGTTTTCCCAGAGTGAATACACTTGTCTAATTGGTACCTAGATCAAGAAGCAGAACAGGAACAGAACTCCAGAACCCTCCTTTCTCCTTTTCAGTCACTATCCTCTACCCCCCCCCAAAACACTATATTTCTGAAATATGTGTCATTTTGATTTTAAAAATATAATAATACAATTGATTCTTTTGTATTTGCCTTCTTTAACTCAATGTTCTGCTTGTGAAATTTACTCACAGGATTGCATGTAGCTGCACTTCAGTAATTTTCTTGCTGTAGAGCATTCAACTATATGAATGTGCCATACACACACAGAAAATCCATACCAGTGTTGATGGACCTGTGAATACTTTCTAGTTTGGGGCCAATTACAAATATTTCTCCATGTCTTTTGGTGTGCATAAAGTCATCAATTTTTGTTGAGTATTCACCTGGGAGTGAAATTGATGGGTCATATGGTATGTTTATGCTCAGTTCTAGCAGTTACATTTTTAGAAAGGTTGTTTTGCTACCCTAATGCTATTCTTGCACAAAAGATTGTCATTGTTTTATTCTGAAGCTATTCTCCACCAGAAAACAGCTTTTAATGGGCCTAGACACTTGAATCACTATCAGGCATGAAAAAAAGGACATAACAACTGGAAAAGGGCTCACTTGTTAGACAGGAAGCTGTACTAGTAGCAAATCTGAGCTGCTATTCCTTGTTTCCCAAATATGTAAGATAAGAGGTTCCTGCCACTAAATGAAGGACAAAGACTACAGTGAGAATTAAACAGAGAGACACTGTCAGCAAAGGCCCCGGAAATTATATAAACTCAGAAGTTGTGGAAGTCAGACTGGACAGATGTAATGGTCAGATTGTTACTGGTCTTGAAGTCAGTTGGTTAAATGTACACAACTGGCAGCTTGGTGGTTGTCACTAGTGAGAGATGTAAGAACAAAAAGCGAGCTGTCAAGGTCAAGTCAGTGACCTTGGGCAGTGGATCATGCTAGCATTCCTCAGAGGCCCGTAGGTGGAAGCCTATTGCTTCGAGGCTCTAGGTCCAGCAGGATCATGCCAAAGTACATGTAAGATTGGGCTCAAGTAACAAAATCACAAAACTTCTTCCTGCATGAACCCATCTCCATGACCACACCCTCTGATCCTTCCTTACCAACTCCTCGGCTCTCTCCTTTCGGCCTCCCATGTGCATTTGTTTCATTTCCAGATGTGCTGCTTGCTTTATCATCTCCTTTGGTGGCCGATGAGCTACTTTACATTTGTTTCTCTCCTGATTTACCATTTCTATCTTGGCCTCCCCGCCACACAATAATAATAAATTCCTCTCTCCATTTAATAAACATTGAGGCCCTACTATGTGCCAGGAACTGGGCTAAATACTAAGTAGCTCTGATTTCTTGGGGCTTAGACACAGCTGTCTGAGGGAAAAGGGCAGGGTGCAAACCACCGTCAACCTGTCATTGGGAGTGGGAGACCATCAGATGGAAAACAGGCCCTCAGCGGCTGAGTCACTGGTTCCACAGCTCTGGATTCTGGAAGTTGAGTTCCAGACCCTGGAAGTTGGTGTCCAGGGTCCTCTCTCTCTCTCTCTCTCTCTCTCTCTCTCTCTCTCATACAAGTGACACTGACAGTGTAACAGACAAGTAGAACAAGAATGAAGATGGCACAATACACATCAGTTCTTTATTTTATATTTAAACCCAACAGCTTCCCTCCAAAAGTAAGGGTATTCTTCAAGACAGTTCTGATTTGTTGAATTAAGTGACCTCAGGTATGGTAATGTTTTTAAATATATATATTCAAACGGTAACTAAAAAAAAACAAAAAAAAAACCACAAAGCTAAACAGCATTAGCTTTTCCCGATCCAAAGTCCAGGAGCTTTCATTGTGTAATAAAACACCCTTCAGTTTAATCTGCCGTTTGTATGGCTTGAGCGTAAGCTTCTGCCTCATTTCTGTTGGGCTCAAGATACAACACAAACGATTGGAGAGCTCGCGTGGGAAGATCGGGAGACCTTTAGGCGATGGGACCTCCTGGGAGGGGCGCTGCTAGGGACCCCAGACCACCCGGTACGGCAGGGGCGAGGGCGCAGTCAGCGGAGGGGCGCCCGGCGCCCCGCACCCAGGGCTCCCCCGGCTCCGCTGCCCCGGCCGCCGCGGGGCTGGTTCCCGCGACAGGTGTC